TCCACGTTGCCCAGTGTTCTCCCCTGTATAGCAGGAGATATGTTCAAGGTCATCTGTTATTATTGTTCCCGATCTTCTAATCTCTGCTAACCCGATGATATCGTATTTAAGGTGATTGATTGCTTCTTTAAGTTCTATCATTTTTTCGTCTGATAATAATGACCTTGCGTTATAGGTACATACATATATTTTTTTGCTCTGGAGGGTTGTAGTCGTATTTTTCCGCGGTGACAAGCCGTATTTGATTTTGTAGAGAGGTCGTCGCAAAATTGCTATTCACAGTTATTTTTATTGTGTGACATGGAAGCGTTATCTCTTGATGATTTCTTAATATATTGATTCATATTTACCTTGTTTCGCTTTGGTATTTGTTTAGTGAATTTATTTGTATCTTCTAATGGAGTTTGCTCTTCCGGAGATGTGGACAAATTTCTTTTGTTATTGGGTTGATATGTGATGTTTGTCTGTTCTCGTTTCTTTTTCAAAATGACAATTTTGTCATATTTTAATATAGCTCTTTCTCCTTGTTCAATCTTTTGTTTGAGTTCTGGAATTAGAAGTTTTCTAGTTTTTAATATTTTTGGAGTAAAATCTTCTTTAATATAATATAAACTCTTTTCAAGATTTCGACGATTTTTAAATAATTCGATTTTTTTTACTCATAGTTGTAAGGGTTATAACTATGGGTCTTGACTTTTCTCCTTTTTTACCAATTCTTCTAAAATATTCCAAATCTGATTTTTCGGATGAGACTTGCATATATTTTTAAAATAATTGTTTCTAAGTCGTGATAATTGTATTCAATTTCTTGTACTCCGAACAAGGTAATGTTTCTTTTTCTTAGGTTTCTGTCTATCATTTCTATGCTATAAGTTTGTAGTATGTAATATATAATCTGTGTACCTGTGTGTCTGTCCGTAACATCATAGCTTCTAAACGGATTAAATCGATTTTAATTAAGTTTTTATTCGTTTGAAAGGTGTCTTAATCAAGAGTGTTCTTAGATCTGTTTTGAGAAACTCTGTTCAACCGTTTGAAGATCATCAGCTCTTTTTGTTTCGAAGGTTTTAAATTTCACAATTAAATTATATTTTTAGAACTTGGCTAATACAATATCGTGTGTCTAGAGCCTAGGAATCAGAAACTTATACTATTTTTATTCAATATAGGTTATAAATAATACTTATTGAAAGTTACTTTTTTATTTACCACACTGGTTCAGAAAAAAATGTCTGTCCTGGAATGAACCAGCAAGAAACCCAGCTTACAATCATATATGTTACAATTAACAACATATTATACTATATAGATAGCGATCACCTTACTTATTATTTTAGTTTATTATCATCAATAAATTCCTTAATGTTATAATAACCCTTTTTATACAAACTTAGTTAAATAAAGTTTTTGAACTTTGTACAGGTCAAATATTCTAAATTTTCTGGGATTTTGTTATAAAAGCGTATAAATCGCCCCAAGAATGAATTACTGACTCGGTGGAGTCGAGTAACTGGTACTACTAGCTTGTGTCTGTTCCTAGTATTTACAGAATGAATATCACATTTTTCACACACAATTGAAATAAAAAATTAAACATGTAGGTATTCATGAATATGATTCAACGCCTCAGTAATGATACAACTAAGCGAAACACGTGCGTGAGTGATAACAGTGTCCTACTGGCCGATTCCGTTATTTTATAACATTAGTGATAAACACGTGCACGTCAGTTGTTTTATGAAAGATTTATAATAAATCAACAATAAATTATAATAGTAATGACTGCCTCATTGGGCTAGTGGTCATTTATGCGACTGCTGGTCATGTGGTCCCGAATTCAAATCCCGGGTCAGGTCAAAAATCAGTTATTGGTTTTTTTTAATCAAAAAGTTGTTGTCTCTATTAAGTCTTCTTAGTGAATTCTTAGTAGCGTGCCTCAGAAAGCACGTAAAGCCGTTGGTCCTGCGCCTATTCTCTCTCCGGTCGTGACGGTTTACGGTCAAATCGGATTATGAGCGTGAGGGAATAGAGAGTGCACCTGTGCTTGCGCATACACTTGGGCACTATAATCATGTCCTACTCCGATGGCTAGTCTCCGTAGAGACTGCGTAGAGGCTGCCGTGACCGAAATTCAGTCTGGAGGGCATTACCATCAAAATGCAAGATGTGTTTTTTTTATACAATAAGGGTGACAAACGAGCACACAGTCTACCTGATGGTATGTGGATGCTGTGGCCCATAGACGTCTACATTTATCCCCGATTAAGAATCAAAACGCAGATGCGTTGTCACCCCAGAGGACTAAGATGGAATGCTTCGTTTCCAGTAAAAAAGGTCTCCGGACTCTACACTCACCAATCACCATACGAAACAAAGCAGTATTAAGCTACTATTTTACGCTGGTATTCTGAGAGCGTTGTGAGAGCGTGGTCCTCCCCTTCCTTCCTTTCCTTCGTCCTAGATCTTACCAGGTCGTCACTCAGAGTTCGAAACCTATCCAACTGCAGAGAGGTGTAGGACAGGGTGATGTTATATCCCCGAAACTCTTCACCGCTGCGTTGGAAGACGTTTTCAAGCTACTGAACTGTACATCACTCACCTTCGATTTGCCGACGATATAGTCCTTATGGCAGAATCGCTGGAGGACCTTAGCACTATGCTCAATGACCTCAATGGTGTCTCCCAACGGATAGGTCTTAAGATGAACATGGACAAAACAAAGATCATGTTTAATGTCCATGTCACACCTATGCGGATAGTTGTTGGGAACACTCTGCTCCAAGTTGTTGACGAGTACGTTTACCTGGGACAAATAGTCCGACTAGGTAAGTCCAACTTCGACCAACGACGTCAATCGACGGATTCAACTCGGCAGGGCAGCGTTCGGGATCGAATTACGACACATCTTCTCGTCAGGTATACCTCAATATCTGAAAACTAAAGTGTATAATCAGTGCGTGTTGCCAGTGATGACTTACGGATCTGAGACGTGGTCCTTCACTGCTGGCCGTATGAGGACGCTCAAGGTCGTTTAGCGAGCTATGGAGAGGGCTATGCTCGGAGTTTCTCTGCGTGATAGACTCAGAAATGAGGTTATCCGCAGTAAAACCAGAGTGACCGACATAGCCCAACGGATTAGTAAGCTGAAGTGGCAATGGGCCGGCCATATAGCTCGAAGAACCGATAACCGATGGGGAAGAAAGGTTCTCGAGTGGCAGCCTCGTACCGGTAGACGCAGTGTAGGGCGACCCCCCACTAGATGGAGTGACGACCAATGCATATATACATTCTGTCATGTCCTATTACGTAGATGAATAATAGTAGTAATATCACTACGTCATTATACGTAATTTTTATCCGATCCCTAACCGCTATATTTGTTCTGGAATGGATCTACCGCGGTCGAATTAGCTGAAACCTCATTAGATTTGTCATGCATTCTTCCATCTACTCGTAAAACAAACAAAATAGCCAGTAAGACACCATTTTCATAGAGCAATATTATTTACAATACACTTCATAACAAAACAACAATAAAACAATTACATAAATAATACTTAAGATGCTTTTGTGTTTCGACGAAGTTTCCTACGAATCGCTCCTGCGAAGTTAAACGCGCATGTATCCCTCTTGTGACACCCGTCACACACTACATACGGAATCCCGAAACGGAACAAACACACTTACGGAATCCCGTTTTGCCCGCAAAATTCCGTACGGAAAACTACAGTAGGTGTATGACGGGTCATTGATTTTATATGGACTTGCTGCGTTCGGAATCCCGAATCGAAATTCCGAAACGGAATCCCGAAACGAAATTCCGTATATATGTGGCGAACCTAATCGTAAGTACGCAAGAGGCGTGCAGGTCATATAATCACGTTGTGCGTGTGTGTGTAGCGTTCCACACATTGACCAAGAACACATTTTTGAAATGGTCAAAAACCTTCTATATGACAGTAAAGTTCAGAGTATTTGATATGTTGTGACACAAGGTCCAAATCATAGAATTTTTATTTGAAAGTTCATCGGAAATGAACGTTCCGCCGTACATGATCTTGTTTTTATGAACATAATTGTTACGTTGCGCCATATCAATTACATGCATTAAGACATAGACATCACATACCGTCCGTGAAGGTGTTCTCCGTTCACACGTTACACCGTATTTTATTCCAGACGGTAAAAAAGGTCATCCAGTATAGGTGATCCGTGGCTCTACCATGTAAAATTGCCTTACTGCCTTTTTATACATAGTTTCCACGCTTGGTAAGCGGGTTAACACCCGCAGTCTTTTTGTGATTTTTAGCTGTTATCAGGAAGACACCACTGCTCATCTCCTTCTTCAGTTTCTCTCCTTCTCTTCTTACGATATCTACGGTATCCGATGTCGGGGTAGCGGATTTACGCCATCACATATTTTATTCGTGTAAGAGCCACGCTGCAGCATAACTATATTACGGTTGTAGCACGAATGGGTCCACTGGATCGGGGAAGAACTACGCTCTCAAGGAGTACTAGCGTAAAATAGCAGCTTGATGCTGCTTTGTTTCGTATGGTGACTGTAGAGAACCGGAGACACAATTTTTTTTTCTAGGAGAAGTGGCAAACGAGCATGCGGCTCACCTGATGGTAAGTGTTTACCGCCGCCCATGATCATCCGCAATACCAGGAGAATTTCAGATGCGTTGCCGACCTTTTAAAATGGCTTATCTTGAAGGTCCTAATAATTTAATAATAGTTTCATATGTTATTATTTATCTAATAATATTTTTTTATTGACTTGATATTTTCTAATTACTGTAAATGAAGCATTCCATATAAGACCTCGGAGGTGAAAACGCATCTGCATTTCGATTCTTAACTGATGGTAAATATTTATTTTTATGGGTAACAGCATCCACTTAACTACCATCAGGGGGACTGGGCACTTGTTTTTCACAAAATTCTAGGGTAATTATTTGTCAGGTAAACTAATAGTATTTCAATATCGTCTTCAGGTCCGAAACCTACGAAGCCTCGGCCAGCGAGCTCCGACCACCTACACCCTGAACCTTTAGTGGAGTGCGTGGTTCTACACCAGCCGCCGTCTCACACCCTCGACGTTATCTTCGTACATGGACTTTATGGTAACGAGATTAATATGCCAACTGTGTTGCCATATTGCCAACTTGCTTAGTGTGTCGTAAAAGGCGACTAATGGACCTTTCCACTTTCAATAACAAATTGACACCAAATCCATTACGGACTTTTATCAATCTGGGATTTTTTTTACATACTAGCAATAATATAAACATTACCGATATTCCTTTTAACCACTCCTGGTAACCTTAAGGTGCTTGTGCTAGGAGTTCACAGCAGCAATCAAGAAGTATTACATTGATTTTTTTATAGTATAAACGTGACAAACATGCACACAGTCCACCTGATGGTAACTGTATCAATACTCGATAAATAATCAAAATTCCAATGCGCTGTCAACCAAGGACTAAGATGGAATGCCTCGTTTCCTGTATAAAGGGTCTCCGGTTCTCTATACTCAACATACAAAACACAGTCCGCGGTTTAACCGACCCATTCGTGCTACAATTATAACATAGCTGCAATCACGGAGCAAATAATTTGCTCCGTGGCTGCAATATAGTACGTGGTAGAGCCATGCTGCAGTTATATTGGTAGTATAGTTGTAGCACGAATGGGTCGACTCGACCGGGGAATGACCAAGCTCTCACAGAATACCGTAAAATAGCAACTTAATGCTGCTATGTTTCGTACTCGTATGGTGAGTGTAGAGAACCGGAGACCCTTTTTACTGGAAACGAGGCATTCCATCTTAGTCCTCACGGGTGACAACGCATCTGCATTTTGATTCGTAATCGAGGATAGATTTAAATGTCTATGGGCCACAGCAACCACTTACCATCAGGTGGACTGTGTGCTCGTTTCAAATATTTTATTTTCAGTAACTTAGTCTTTTACAAATATTAGATGCGGGAACTCCCCTTTAGGCAAATTATCGCCTTTGGTGGGAAGAAACGCTCTTACAAACAGTTACATAGAAAACTAAATTACAACTAATATACACTAAAACAAGCAAGTTTACATGTAATTAATATTTTTTTCATTTCCGCGCGCGCGGTATTTGTGTGTGTGTGTGTGTGTGTTTGAGTTTGGTTGTGCGTAAGTGTTGTGTTATATACCTAATATTTTTTATTTAAAATTTTCAAAGGCCGAATACGAAGAGAACTGGCGAAATTTAATGTATTTCTCTTCACTACAACTTTGACCTGAAGTAATTCTAAGCGTTAAAACATTTTCTGTAGGTTTGTTCGGTTCCTTCACAAGATGCCCGCAGTTTTAAAACAGATAAATATACCAACAAATAAAAAACTGTTAAGAAATGATATTTAAAAATGATTGTTCTTCCTGTGTGAATTTTAATTTAGGAAAAATTCTTTTACGTAAAAATGTTTGTATTGTGATTCCAAAGGTGCCTGCTGTCTTTATTTTCGATACAAAATATTATTTATTAACATAATTCGTTTTAATTAAAAACACCTAATAATAATATCGTATATTGCCAGATAAAAGTTTGCCGTAATAAATTACCAGGCGCTTCGACGTGTGACGTAAGGTAACAACAGTCTATGTGTCTGTAGCGAAAATCGTTAATTTAGTGTTTTATATGCTTTTAAGTGACTATAAATGTAAATATGGGTAGGAAAAGAAATAAATGTTACCTAAGTGGTAAAACAAAGAGAGTTTATCGCATGAACGCTGCTCGAATGTTGTATTTTGAGGTTAATACTTATATTTTTGTAAGGTAATTTTTTGTTTGAGGCTGCCTAATAGGTTGCATTTTTACTCATTTACATTAGCCAAACTGATCATTTATACTTTTCTAGTTTCAAGTGAGAAACACTAAAAATGTAAATATCAAAACCCAGTCGGAAAAGAATGTACAGAGTAGTGCAAGCACAGAGACCGCAAATAATGTCATAGTCAATGTATTGTCCGAAAGCATGGGGTAAGTACATAATTAAGAAAAGCAGAAATACTTCGGATGTGAAGTGATTGACCAGTCGGAGTAGTCTTGTGAGAATTTACATACACAGTACCTATCCCCACTATGGGGCAATCACCGACTTTTTAGTTTTTTTTTCTTTATTATTTATGCAATTTGCATTACGGCATCTTGTAAGACTCACAAGAACAAACATTTTCAGTTATATGAGGTTCTTTACGTACGATGCACCAATTAAGAAAAAAAAACCGTTTCAATTCAATAACTTTTCGAACAATATTTTATAACGAATAAAGTACAGAATTTATATTCTATAGGAACTAATATTATAAATAAGAAAGATTTATTTAAGAAGTCAGCAATGATCTCTGTGTTGTTCATTACTCTGCATACTGAGCTAACTCAGTCAAATATAATATAATCAATGCCCGTACGGCTTTGCTTACATTATACATGTCTATATAAACAAAGCTACGGGCGGCGCGTGGTTTGCTGCGAAACGAGCAAGGTCATTCGCGTCGTATTCGGCCTTAAGTGATAGTATTGTCGATGACTGGAACTTGTATGCGCTATAAGACCTATGAATACCTACACGTGTCCACCATTCCAAAACCGTTTTCTTACAATCTTTTTATTAAGGGAAAATATGTTAAGATACTTATTTATTTTATTGTAGATTGAGGCAGACTTCATAGAGTACTGCCGTCTTGAAAAGTCAGAATTCACTGTGGGAACTAAGGCAATCGTTTGTCACCCCATCCAATAAAAAAAATACTCTACTACTTTTCCGGTTCCGAGTGCTCTCCAGGTTTCGTTCATTAATACTAATCTCCTATAATTTCAGGGTCGCTTGGAAACACGTGGCGTCAAGGCGAGTGGAGGGCGAACTATAAAAACGACCCTATAAAGGTTCCTTTGAGACGTCCAACCTCAATACCCACCGCATGTGCTTGCAAATGGGATAAAGGGGAGAACACAATCGAGAAGTGCTCATGCGATTTCATAAACGATTTTAAAGATTCGAATAGTATAGACGATAACGAATATAATTTGAATAGAAGACGAGAAGAGTACGCCGCGAAAGAAGATGTGAGATTTTACGAGAAATTTCGAAAGGTTTTACCTGACGATGATCTGTTTATAACAGAGAAATTTTACAATAACACATTGTTGGGACAAGTTGAAATTCTAGGGAATTTTGAAACGCAGGCCAGTTTCGTTCGGGATCTCTTTGAGAAAACTAATCGAGATGTAGACTGTGATATTAAAGATGTAGATGACAAAAGTAATTTACGAGTGGACTGCAAGTGTGGGAGTGAAAAGTGCGAGGTGGGGTGCGGTTGCACCTGTGACCATTGCTACTCGTCGTGCTGGCCCAGGGATTGGATCAAAGTGGACTTCCCCGGAGCCAGGGTCATTTCTATCAATTACACCAGCGACCCATATTTATGGCGGCCTTTGTGGATTAAGGAAAACAAACGGTGAGTAGTTTAGAGAAAATAATTTAAATTCCAAATTTTTTACTTTTTTTTTTTCAAATTATTTTATTTTTTGCAGTCAATGATAAATCTACTGTCGCATGTAGGTGTATATAGGACACAGTATCCACGTATCAATAGGAGAACTATGTATTTGTTTGTCTGGTTTGAGATATGACTTAGACAGAAGGGTCAATGTAGTCAAATCATTTGCATTTAAAAAGTAAAAATCAACTTGAAGAAATTAAAAAGAATAAATAATGTTCACATTTATTAGCTTCAGAAGACAAAATGTACTGAAAAATTGAGTTCGAACTTCAGAAGCTATTAAATTTTTTTAGCACTTCCTGGATGCGAAGTGAGAGAGGTTGGACTTTACTGTTGACTTTACAAGGTCACGCAATCCGCTTTCATTAATTTGGTACATAGGTAGGTTCGACCGGGCGTGAATCAGAGAATACCGGTATAGTGCTGCCGTATTTTTTTAGGTAGAGATTAATGAGTCATTCCATCTTTGTTCTCAGTCAGTTTATCTGAAATTCGATTAAATTCATTAAATTAGGTTTTTTTAATCGCACTAATACGTGAAGAAAAGCACGTTAACAATAAGAGGAAACACTAATGAATAAAACCATTGAGTTATAATATGTACTACGTACTAAGAAGCTATTCCAAACATAAAATGTGCACTACACTGAATCCGCACATGCGCGGGAAACAGTAGAGTCGCGCATGCGCAGTTGATATAAACGCGCGAAAATTGTCATAATAAATAATTGTTTATTTAGATTGTATTGTTAATCGAGTACATTTTTTAAATTTTCGTTTATTTTGCATATGTGCTAATTTAATATAAAATTATTATTAGTGCCGCTCCGCACTGCATAAATATCGAAGCCATAATAAGAGGTGTACGGATTGCAGTACAGTTCAGTTGAACATATTAAGTGTTCGGAATGCCATAACTAGTACGTAGTACATATGTATATCAGAATAAAACTGATGTTTTTATTTGTGTTTGCTGTAGGTATGTATTATTATAAAAAATTCCAATGATAAATTTTTAACGTCCTATACCTAGAGTTGCCAGATGATCGGGATTCGTCTGGATTCTACGGACATTTTAAATGATCTCCGGACTCCCGCCAAAACTCAAAATCTACAGACTAACAGCTTCTCAGAAAGTAAACGTATGGCCTCAGATTTAATAAAAGCTGAGTTAGCAATCAGGTTGAATTTTAAAGTAAATTGTTTGAATTTTAAATATTTTCTAAATACTACTAAAGGATCCAAATTGATGACTAGTAAAGTCCAATGGCAATTACATGTGGCAAACTAAAAATTAAGTGTACTAGTGTGTAATGTAAGTGTAATATTAGTTCATTTAGTACTTTTTGTAGCTTCTTAATAAAAATATACACTCAAATTTTTTAAATATTTATTTCTCCCGACAACAACGCCCAAATACCGACATTTTCAAAATTTATCGACATATTTTGTTCTTCCGATCTGGCAATCCTACCTTTATCTAGTCTATGGCAAAAAGAAGTGTTTGCAAAGTTCGAAGTAAAAGAACGGCTGGACGAAATGATTTCATTATTATTTTATTTTTGTAAGATGTAATAAAACACTTTTCCCCGTTACACGTAATAATTAACTAGCAAACAGTGGCATTAAATCCGCCCTATGTACCCTTTACTTTGAGGTGTTACATTTATGTTTTTAAATAATAAAATAAATAAAATAATAATCTATATCGCTCGCACACCATTTTAACTACTTCATTCTATCTTTCTCTTTCGTACCTACATTATTATCATACTTCCATTACCTTTCACATTAACTTCCTTTTTAACTTTTATCCTTACAATTTTAATGTTTTAACGTCGGTTTTTGCAAGTAAAACGATTACATTAACCTAAGTTGATTGACAGTAATATCTCCCTTAGGCAGCGGCTTCACGATCGCGCTGATCAAATGATGATGCAGCTTCTAGGGCTCGGTGTTGGGGATAAGCCCATAATATGGGTCGGTCACTCGAAGGGTGGGCTGTTCATTAAGCATATCTACTGTGAAGGTATGAAATGATTTGTTGCAGTAATACTTTAGGTTTAATTTATAGATAGATTTTTTTTATTGCACCAAACATATTATGTTGTTACTATTTTTTAATGGAAGAGCAGGCATACGAGCATATACCCACCTAATGGTAAATGATCGCCGTCGCTCTTAAATATCGACAACAACATGGGATTGCAGGTGAGTTGTCGGCCTTTTAGAAATGCCTGCGCTCATTTCTAGAAGATTTCCATGTCGTATAGGCCCGGAAAAATGAGAGAGAGAGAGAGAGAGAGAGAGAGAGAGAGAGAGAGAGAGAGAGATGTGTGGATGATGTTGATCCGGTTATGTACGAAAAGATGATTCGATAGTCTTTAATGCTGCTGTGTTTCGTATGGTGTGCGTAGAGAACCTAAAATAAAGTTCACGTAGAGGGTGCTGAAATAGCAATTCACTTAGAGAGGATCGGCTCAGGTTGTTTGCGTTCTGTGAAATTTACGACGCTCTACAGCTACTATGGCTCTTACAATAAGTCTGAATTTTTTATAGGATAGGGTGACAAACAAGCACACAGTCCACCTGATGGTCAGTGAATGCTGTGGCCCATAGACATCTACATCTATCCTCGATTACGAATCGAAATGCAAATGCATTGCCACCCTTGAGGACTGATGGAATGCCTCGTTTCCATTAAAAAGGGCCTTACATTTTCTATACTCACCATAGGAAATACAGCAGCATTACGCTGTCATTTCATGCTGGTATTCTGTGAGAGCGTGGTCCTAAATCGGTCCTAAAACTAAAGCTTCGTTTTACCACATACATAAAAAAAATAGAAAATATGCATGTTAAAAGTCCATCTCCTCCCATTTTTGATAGATGATGGTGCAACTATTCCGCTGCATTGCTACAATGCATGTTCGTGGACTTCAAAACCCTTCAAAATATTTTATATTTAAAACAAGCTGCTTTTCTCTCGTTGTTTTCAATTCGCCGCCGAGCATGTGTTAAATAAACACTTAAAATTCCAGTTAATAATTAAATTTGGTGCCTCTGCAGATTGCTAGCGTACCATTATAAAACCTACTGTTGAAATTAAATATCTGTCATGAGCCACGTAATCAGTAGCAATATTAACCATTTTAATTACAGCACACGAAGCTTATTTAAAAACGAACAAAAACGAAAATAACGACGCGTCTCACATACAGCAATTTCCAATTCAAGAAAACAATAAAATAAACGAGGAAGATATCTCTAATGGAAATTTAGAAGTAGATGCCACTGAAAATAATATAATTACAATAGAAAATGCTACGAATGAAGCTAAATTGACCAATTTAATAAATTATGTTTTCGGCGGTCAAAATGAATGTGTAACAAATGATGTAAATAAGAATAATGTAGATAACACAGAAGAAAACGTAGAAACTGGTAAAATAGAGACTGGAGAAGAACGTGAAGACGAAGCCAAAGAACAAAATGACAAAATATCTTCTAATAACGAAGGTAAAAAATCTTATATTTTCTTCATTATATAATCATTGGTAGCTCTTTTAGTGATCGTGAAACTTCTGAATGACATGACCGATTAAGGTCTTTTTCACACAATATATTTGCTTTGTTGAAACGATGCAATTGTATGCTAGGATCCGATAGTTGGCACCGTAGACTTGACTAAACCTCAAACTAATAACTAATGCAAGGAATAACTACCGAAGGCTGTCAGGATTCAGGGATAAAATGCAGCAGTGGACGGTTAGTGATCGCTGTTAAAAGGCTTATTACATTTTGCTTCTCACTTTTCTATATTTCTTAATTATAAGTAAAAAAGTCTTCTAGAAAATATATACAATGTCTAACTTGTACTAGGTGGAGTTCCTTAAAAAAAAAAAGAACTAATATCACATTCCACCAAGGTATTTTTGCACGAAATAACTGAACTACAGTTTAGTAAGTAGTAAGATTCCTTTTTTTTGTCTAAGAGTACGTTTCGGAGGTTGCCACCCTCTTATCTATTTCTGTCTCTATTTTGGTCCCCTATCACAACTGTAAGAGTTTCTGGTTGCTCATGTATTTCTGGGCGGTAAAAAAATCCTAACCAAACTAGATTTCTGATTGTAAAGTATGTAATAATCATTTCTTTACTGTTTGTAAACATAATTTATTATGAGAGTATAGATCACAGAAGAAGAAAAATATATAGTATTGAGTATGATAATGTGACACTAGTCTTTGACATGTTCTTACGTCCTTGTCTCACTTACACACAGTTATGTTACCTATCCAGCTTTCACAGTAATAATGAATTCGTTTTTCCACGTTTAATAGCTGTTTGATATTTGTTATGATAGCTTTTTTTTTTTTTTATAGGATAGGGTGAAACAGGTCCTGATGGTGTGGTTGGAAGAGGATCCAAGAGATTAAGTCATTTTATGTATAATTTTTTATTTTCTTTTTGCTTGTATGCTTTTTATTTTCTGAAAAACAGTGCGTTACCTTTTAATGAAAGTAGTATTTTTATAGTCCAGAGACCTGTCAAACGATTCTAAATCCAACCGCTCAGTGTTGACAAAGAATCTATAGCCTTCTTTGTTTGAGGTTGGCTGCAGGGTCTTTTTTATAGAGTTAGGGTGATAAACGAGCACACAGTCCAATTGATTGTAAGGGGATGCTGTGGCTCATAGACATCTATATTTTACCTCGATTAAGAGTCAAAATGCAGATGCATTATCACCCCTGAGGATTGAGATGGAATGCCTCGCAAAGAGTATAATAAGTATATACAGGAAAGGAAAAGAGAGCCCTCTGACGACATTTTATTGCAGACAAAATTGAACTACGAGCGCCTCCTACAAATTGAATCCGAACTAATTCGCTATATACAGCTCTACATATACCTCTTCTATAGTAGTAAAATGTATAATATTGTTCGTATACATACTGAAACAGTTTTACTGCCTACTTTTTGTAATACTGTTTTTGACATTATTAAAAGTAGGTAAAACAGTTTCAGTAAGTACACTGGTATTTATGGGGTATTTGCAATGAAACAAGAGAGATAACGATGAGCACACGCAAAAAAGTAGCCACCATTTTGACTTTCATTTTCGTTTGAATATTTGACGTTTTGAAGTTTAGGGTGGCCAGTATCATAATTATCATAATCGATTGATTTCACGATGTTTAAGTTTTTATTTTATGTGAAAATAATATTTGTTATAAACAAAATCACCAATAATTCGTTAGATCACCAAAAATATCGTGCATTTAATTTTATTTTTAAGCTAATTTTAGTTTCTTTTTAAAAGTAGCGACATCTGTGAAGACCCTAGACCAATAATAAGCATAATGTTTTCGGAAACAAATTATGGATGGCGCTACCTTCAATTGAATTCTTGTGGTCCAAGGCAACTGTCCTACCCCTGATGCCTCGATTCCAGTAAAACGGGTCTCCGATTCTCTACACTCACCATACGAAACACAACGGCATTAAGCTACTATTTATGCTGGTATTCTGTAAGAGCGTGGTCCTACCCCTGTCGAGGCGACCCATTCGTGCTACAACCATAATATAGCTGCAGCGTAGCTCTACCACGTATATGCATATACCAAGTATAGGTGTTCATGGTCTACAGTAGCTAGAGTAGTAACAATTTCGTTTGTCACTTCAACTTTTTTTTAAATAAGATCAAATTTCTTTTTCATCTTGCTCATATCTTCTAGAAGATCCAAAGGAAATGATGCGAAGAGCAAACCTGTGGAAGAACAGCGCCGGCTTCATGTTTTACTCCGTCCCCCACCGCGGGTCTCCACTCGCCGACATTAAAACTCCAATTACAGCCAGGAGTATCGAATTATTAGAAATTTGTAAAGGTACATGTCTTCATAACTAATCTCATTTATTTATTTATTTTAAATTATGAATGCCTCGATACGCCATTTTGCTGATACGACACCGTTACCGATGCGATGCTCTTATAAAAATATCGGCGATACCGATACCGAAGGTAAAATAGATAAAACAAAGTCAGGTTATTATTTTTTTCAAATTAATATAAAAATAACTAATAACAGGAAAAACTAAATAAAATCGTTTAAAACTATAGACAGTTTCCTTTGCAACGAAATAGACGAGACAATACGCGCGTTTACATTACATTGAAGCTCGAAATTTAAGAAGTATCGTTGAATCGGGCAAAAAAATATCGCCGATGCCGATTTATGGGCATACTTCGAGTATCGCCGATATATCGACGTCGGTATCGGTATCGGATGCATCCCTATTTTAAATTTTAATAACGTAATGGCTCACTCAGGTGGTCAGAGTAGAGTGCGATCCAAACATAACGGCCTCTGTAAAGTTGACGCGAGACACTGCGATTACCGATACAGCCTAGTTAAAGTCCACTGCTGAACCTCCCTATAGATTACCACATAGGAACTTTTACACGCTGTAATGGATAAGGGATGTAAAATTCCAAAATCAATAATAAGCAGCGTCACAGTTACGAGACATCTGATGTTGCGTTCCCCAATCCGCCTGCTAAACGTAGAAATTAAGGAAATTCTTTCTAACGCGTAAGGATTTTGATTATGGTAGAAGTTCATGTCAAGTGGTAGACTAACTAAGGATATTTTGTACTGCAGACTGTTCCCTGGTGATGTCCCTTCAAGAGCGCTGGCTTAAAGCCACCTCCACCGCAAAGCCGGCAGTAAGCAGCCTGGTCGAGACCTGCAAGACCCTTATGTCGCTTCTTTGGCTGAGAATCGTCAGCGTAGACTCTGCTGGTGAGTTCTGAAAGTTGACTCTGTACTAATCTTTTAATACTCACCTTTCGATAAATAAATAAAAAATTGTAAAAGATTTTTAACAACTGGTATGCAAAATAATGACTACTTTCTTCTATAAAAGGCTACTAATTATTAATTCATTTCTAGATCCCGGCATCGGAGCCTTATCAGGCGTATCAGTGGATCATCGGGAGATCTGCAAACCTTCCAGCAGGAAATGTCTTTTATATAGAGAACTTAAAATTCTTATACAAAATGCTCTGAGCAAGCATCGACACCAATAACCTATATTAACAATTAAGGACCCATAATGTACCTTCGAGTACACCCATTAAATCGTCAATCTGTGATTGTTTTTGATTTTAAATGCAATAATAAAGGTGTTAATGGACTATGTAGCTTCTATGTAATTAATATTGTTATAACGTAATAATCTAATAAGCTATGTCGCTTGATTTAAAATGGAATATGTTTAAGATATAGCTTCCATCATGTTTCCCTTATCAATTTTTCCTAATTTTCTAATACAAAATCATGTGCCGATGTCGTGGTAAAGTATCATCCAGACTCCAGCAAATGTATCGTGCAGACTCCAGCAAAAGCGTGGTAACTCAACTAGGGAAAAACCAGATCTTCTTAATATTAGTGTGAAACAACGACAAAATGCTAGGTATTTCTTATAATATGAAAACGTGCAATGATACCCATGACTTATTACATTATGACTGAACATACTTTTGTGGTGTTTTTACGTCTAATTATACAACAAAACAATGTTTCGGCCAATCCTCTTGTTCAACGTTACGTTATGTATGGTTAAGCTTTCTTTTCCATCCAATTAACCGCCTGATAAAGTCATCGAGCTGTGACAATTATAGTTTTGTTACTCATTTAAAGTAAGATACACGTTAAAAACCTAATTTTGCGTGTTATGAACCAGTGCTTGCCTACCACCTCCTCTGATGGTAAGAGTTGATGCAGCCGAAGTTGGTTAAGAGCACTGGTTCGGAATAATCACTATTTCTTTGAAGACACAATGTAATTAGATGGAAATATAGAAGCAGACAATAACAATAACATAGACATCAATAATTCCGAATCATTTGAGCGTATCGTTCATTTTTTAGATGTTACTTTTAATTTTTATAAATCTCTACTAATATAATAGAGCGGAAAAGTTTTGTTTCTTTGAACACGCTAATCTCTGGAACCAATCAGATTTAAAAAAAATATTTTTGTATTTTATAGCCAGATTCATAGAAATAATATATAGAATAGAAATTTAGTATAATATAATTAACCAAGAGCCGAATTAAAACTTATTATAGCTATTAAATATTAAGCAGTTATTTCCAGCCACAAGGGCTTGTATTATAATTGACTTTCTTGAGACGGACATATTCCTGGATTGCAATAAAAAAAAAGAACAGAGTAGAAACTAAATTAAAGTCAGGGAGCATTTAGCCGTTGTTAAATATGTGATTTAATAAGTTTTATTGTATATAGAATTATAAAAAGTATATATATTTTACAGTTTTTTATTACAATAAAACACCTAAATACCCATTACATATTCCAGTCAGACTTCAAGTTAGTTTTTTCGTTGTTTTCGACATACTAACACTGTTATAAGAAAACACTGTCGTTATTTTATGCGCGCACTTTGTTAATAAGATTTGAAGTTTACAGATAAATAGGAAAATGAAAATACGACTGCGTGGGATATGTTCAGTATCCATCCACATAAAAATCTTTGATACCAGTTTTCGATCAATAATTATACTAGATTAAGGATCAGGAAAAAAATAAGTCGCTCAAGGGGCCACGTTTGCACACACGTAAACATCTATATTTCTTACCGTGAGACAGTGGCGAAGCTAGAGTTCCAAGCTAGGGCAAGCCCAAGATATAAATTGATAAAAATATAGATTGTTGTTTTTAGCAGTTTTATAAAAATACACCAATCTTGATCTGTCTCCACGCTTCAGTTTCATATTCAGTGCTGTCAAGGACGTGTTTAACAAAGCACACAGAAGGCATACCACTGCTAGATAGATTGTATTACATATCAGCAATTGCATAGCTTCGGTGGCTTTGAAGAGAGCCTTTTGGGTTTGTTTAAGCGAAAGAAAAAAAATATTTACATCCAATACAATACATGAACAAAATTAAAACACGAACAAAGTACATATAATTAAAAAAAAATTATTTACATTCTAATGGATAAGAGATAAGATAAGATAAGTGGAATCGTCTCGCTTTCTTATGGAAAAATTTAATTACGTCCACATAAAATGTTGGTGAACGTTTTAATTGTACCAATAACTGTTTTTAATTGCGATAATTGATGGAAGTCTGAAATACACTCTTAACCTTGTGTATTATCTCAACAAAGTTTAAAGATTTCCTCTCCGATTATCACTTTAACACACTTCAATTCATCACAAGGAACACTATTATCCTCCATTTTCATTAAAAATCTTTAAAAAAGCATAAATTTTGAACTCGTAATATTAAATCGCTTAAGATTCAATTAAGATCACGTTTCAATGTTTATTTACTCGTGTGCAAGCACACAGAGTAAATAAACATTGAAACGTGAAATGAACTTGCAAACGTAATGCCCGCGTCCCTCCGCTTTTAACAAATTTATTCCCAAAAGCCTAGCTTTAAATCTCTATACTAATATGTAATTGCTATATATACAATCGTAGTTATATTTCATTATAGAATATTTTGCCATAGGTTAGAAAGAGAGCGATCGTCTTCTCGAAAGCCCCGTAAAAAGCCCACGCGAGCGAGGGAGACAACTATTAGCTCTATTAAAACTCATTTTTTATGACAGCAGCAGTATCGCTAAGGCAATATGAGGTCATCGGTCGACATGTGTCGAACAGTGGAGTGCGCGGGAAATTTGAAATAGCTTGAAAAATTTTACGAGTTATTTTATTAGTTGATATTATTGATTGATTCAGGTTTAATAAGGCAAGCCCGGCTTTTCGGCTTTAATGGAAGCTTCGCCACTGCCGTGAGATATAGAAAAAAGATTAAAAACATTAACAACTTCAGTTTATTATAAACAGTATTATTCAAATATAAAGTTTAAAAACCATTATAAAATATGTTTATTTAAGTCCTGTCATCGGAGAAAGATGCCGCTTGAATATAAAAAGTCATAAGTACACAAATATTTATTCTAAAATGAAACTTAAGGTCTAAGTAATAAGTTTAAATATTATGATAACCATTTCGTGCTTAGTCTATTTTACTCTCGGTATTAGATTTCAACGTTTGTTACAATAGTTAGTGCGTTGTAGCAAACATCGTTCAAACAATTATATTAGCTAATTGAATTATATTTACTACATATTCAACTCTGTTTTATTTTATGAAAAGCACTTCATGATATAAACTTACTGCAAAAAAATAATTCTTACAAAAATCTTGGGTGTTACGGTAGTTATTTATAGTGATGGGCCGAACATGGATTTTACCGAATACGAATATTCAACCGAATGTTCGGTAAACTTTTTACCGAACCAAATATTCGGCCGAACATTATTCGGCAGGATCACCTCGGTACCTAACCAATTTGTGTTGAAACTTGCTACCGTAAAGCGCGCGGGATTAGCGCCGGATTCTGCCCCTCGCTCCCCGCCACACCCAACATGTTATTGCATCATCTAGTACTGAGTAGTACAAATTGCCGGCACATCCTTATGTTTTTACTATTATTGTGAGAAAAAAGGATTTCGTTGTGTTATTCTTAGTAAAAATTAATAATATATGATAAAAATGAGAGGCAAGTGATCTACTATTTGGACTTAGTTTAGAGAAACTGATGACCAAAGTAAAGTGAAATGTACTAATGTAATGTAATGTTTTTTTGTTTGATTCCAAAAACATTTTATCAAGCTTTTTATTTGCTATAATTGGAACTAAATCTACAGTGCCTCCAAAACGTAACGATATACAAGTAAATTTAACCCATAAATAAGATATACTTTCAACATAATAAAACAACAAATACATTATGAAAGACATGGCATTACTCAATTGCAACATTTCAATACAGTAGACACTTCGAGTACCACTTTAACGAATGTTCGGCGATTAGGCCGAATATTCGGCCGAATACGAACATTCGGTAAAATGCCGAATACCGAATATAAAACGAATATTCGGCCCATCTCTATTATTTACACAGTTTTTGAAAGCGCACTGCGGCATTTTGACGTCGCTATGATTGGACCATAGTAATTTGAAATAAGACCACAAAAGTATTTGTGGTCTTATTTTTCGGACCGTTTTTGAAGCACTTATCGGGAATCTAGTACTATTATTGATCGAAGATACCAGTATAACAAAATCAAAGTAACAGATTATAGAGCGTATTGCGCTCTGCATCACATTTAGCTCCTTTTAACATTTGCGTCTGGTTTCGATGATGTCAACGCTGCTAGCCTATACGGTTCTCACAGATTCATAGGACTCATTTTAATGTTTTTCTACAAAGATACGTTTACAATAACTCGTATCGAGTTTGGTCAAAATGTAACTACTAAATTAGTTATAGCGTTTTGTATGGGAAAATCGTGCTCGATACATTAACATACAAACATTTTTTTCTGCACATCTAAGGCACAGAAAAGTAAAGTAAAGTTACAGCCTATATACGTCCCACTGCTGGGCACTGGCCTCCTCTCATTTCTGAGTGGGTTCAATTAAAAAAGTTAGGTTAAAAAAAAGTTAAAAAAAGGGGAAAGCTAATTAAAAAAAAAACTTTTTTTAATTAGCTTTTCCCTACTTTTATAAATACAAAAGAATGTTGTACATTATTTTCGATGTTGACGTATAAAAATAATAATTCATTTTGAAAAAACACAGGCAGTTTTGTAATAATTAAAATAGTACGAGTTTCACGGCACATCTGCATTTTGATTCTTAATTAATCGAGGGTCGATGTAGATTTATGGGTCACAGCGTCCTTCACCATCAGGTGGTATGTGTGCTCGCTTGGCGCCCTTATTCTATAAGAAAAAAGCGAAAAGTTTATTTAGTAGAACCATGTTGCAGCTGTATTAGTTATAGAACGAATGGATCGACTCGACCGGGGAAGGACCACACTCTCACATAATACCAGCGTAAAATAACAAGCTTAATGCTGCTGTGTTTCGTATGAGTGTAGAGAATCAGAAACCATGAACTGAAAACGGGACATTCCAACTTAGTACTAAGGGGTGACTAATGACTATACATCTGCATTTTGATTCTTAATAGATGA